TAAATGAAGAAATTAGTGATAGATTAGTGAGAATTAACCAAAATTGAGTCAAGAATCCTTACCCAAATATTTTCTCTTAAAAAAACTCCAAAATCTCGCCTCAATCCGAGCTCTCAAAGTCCCAAATGGAAAATGAGAGCAAACCCTCGATTTTGAAAATTAATACTGTTGCCTAGATATTTGTTCTTTGCGAACATGGAATCTGCCTCGCGTTCGCGAAGCGCAAATGCTTCAGGTCTAATATTCCCCTTATGCGAACGTGAGTGCCCACTCGCGAACGTGATGACCACTGATCCCCAGGCCTCCACGAATGCGGAGCCTCACTCGCGAACGCGTAGGCCTAGCGTGAGGTCCACTAAAGTCTGCCACTCTTCTTCGCGAACGCTTGGGCTCATTCGCGAACGTGAAGAGCATTACTCACCTGCCTCCCAGGTACCCCTTCGCGAAGGAAAAAATTACAGCAAAACTCAACTCCTCTACGCGAATGGAGGAGCACCTTCACGAACGCGTAGAAGGACGCCAGAAGCACTAGATTTCAGCAGTCCTAATGTTCCGAAATGCACCGAACATGGTCCGAATCACCCCAGAGGCCCCCGGGACCTCAACCAGTTATACCAACAAGTCCTAAAACATCACACGAACTTAGTCGAGCCTTCAATTCACATAAAAAACGCTAAAACCATGAATCACATCCCAATTCAAGCTTAAAGAACTTATAAACTTCTAACTTCCACATCCGATGCCGAAACCTACCAAATCAAGTCCGATTGACCTCAAATTTTGCACACAAGTCACATTCGACATTATGGACCTACTCCAACTTTCGAAATGGAAATCTGACACCGATATCAAAAAGTCCACTCTCGATCAAACTTCCCAAAATTCCACCAATATCCAACTTTCGCCAATTAACGCCGAAATGACCTACGGATCTCCAAATCAACATCCGGACACGCTCCTAAGACCAAAATTACCATATGGAGCTATTGAAATCGACGAAACTTCATTTTGGAGTGGTCTTCACACAAGTCAACCTACAATCAACTCTTACAACTTAAACTTCAAATTTAGGGACTATGTGTCCCATTCCACTCCGAAACTCTCCCAAACACGACTCCAAGTACCCCAGCAAGTCAAGTAATCACAAAATAAAATAGAGGAAATAATAAATAGGGGATCGGGGCTAATGCTCTCAAAACGAACGGTCGGGTCGTTACATTCATAAAGGGGACACTATCAAGGTTAAAAATCAACAAAGTTGGTTCCTTGAAATATTGGTTGCATAGTATGAGATGGTTGAATTTCACAAAGCTTGAAAAGTTGGTGCTGAAAGATGTATGATCCAATATGATTTTAATATTACAAATATGTGCTTTTGTGATGTATTGCAACCTCAAAATCATTAGCTTTCTTAGACAAATAAAGAGGTGTGCCATATAAAGTGTGACGACGATTAACTTCATTTCTTCTATTTGGCAGGGTGCTTTTGGGAAAGGTGCAGTCATTGATTTCGATTTTGGCGACATTCGCACTTCTCAGCAGGGGTGAGAATTCTTTTGCCATTTGACATAGAGTAGAGCTTACCATAAAACTTTACAATAGTACTCATCATATGTCGTGTTGAATTTTTAAGAGTATTATAATCATACCACATCGAGAGACTAGAAAGAAAATAATAACTATATGTCTATACTCGAAACTTAGCAGCACAAAAATACATTAGGCCTTTCTTGCATGGATATAGAAGTTCGAAACAAGCAACCATATTTATGAAGCAAGAATCTATAGCCTGGTAAATTAAATTAAAGTTTTCAGGTTGATTGTCAACTCTATCTCTTTTATATTATTCCTCAATACCAAATGCTTTAGGGCAGACATTGGCAAAGTTTTTGCAGCTTTTTATTTGAAGAAGAGATCTGTTTTTAAATTAATCTTCTTCAAGAAGGCAGTTGCAATTTTATTTTTATTTTTTAATGATTGAGAAAACTTCCTCAATATAGTTCAGCAAATCTATAAATGAAAGTTAAAACTGATAGCACATCGCTTTAACTAAGCAACAACACCAAAAAAAAGAAAGAAGCAATAAGAAGAACTGCAGTAGAAAGATTACTGTAGTTGTCTCCACTGTAGACCTTTAACTTATGAAATGTACTCAAATTATGCAAGGATTAACTTCCTCCAAAATGCATTACTTCTCGAGTGTGTATCCAACAACCTAAGGCATTGAGCGCTTGCTCACTTGACATCTATTGATTGTAGTTCTAAGACATATTGGTTTTCCATTAGACATGCATACATACAGTTCAGAGTTCATCATATTACATGTGAATGCATGCATGTTGGAAAATGCACTTTTTATGGAGAAGCAACACATTGAGTGACCGAAATATTATAAAATTGTGATTGAGAACATACATTAATAGGAATCAAAGTTTTTATAATGTTGCAGTTGACGATGGATCAGGGAAGGCTGTAAATAGTGATTGAGAATATGTATTCACAAATCACAGGCATTAGAATGTATTATAATGTTGTAGTTGACAATGGATCAAGAGAGGTTGAAGGAATTTTCCAAACTGGGTTAAGGTTCTATCCAAGCAGATTATAACCGACAAAGCTAGAAGAAAATAATAAGAATCGACATATATCACTTATTTCATAGTGTTTCTCTACATAAGTTGCCAACATTTCGGATACTCACAGATCTCTTCAAGCATCAGCATCAAAATTCACAATCAAACAATGATTGAATAGATGACTAACTTTCAGGGAGTCCAGATGCGTCAAGTAGAAAAGCCTCAGGTTGTAAATTAATTATTGAAGATAGTGTCCCTGAGATATTCTAAATCTTGATTTTATCCAGTGTTATTATTTACTGTTGATACCTTTCTACTAGAAGTTCAGAGTTCAGACCATTTCATCAATATAGAAGTTCATTCTTCATCTAGCGTTATCGGTGAAATTCCTTTTCTGTTTGGCTGGTAGGTTCATTGAAACATTAAATCTTACTAGCGGTATGGACTATTAGCATACTCTAAGAAGGCGCACTTCATGTTGAAGTGAGTGATTATTGGATAATGGAAGGAAGAATTACTAGCATGTTTCTCTCCTAAACATGCTAGTAAAGTTCATGTGAAAGACTAGCATTATTAAAGCAAGCTCTATTCGAAAATATCTTCACTTGAATTTTAATCAATTATTTTCCATGCCAATTAAACTTACAAGAAAGTTTCTTCTTTAAACCCCAAAAGAGGGAGTGTATCTTGAGAAACCCCCTATATGAAGAGCTTAGTTTTAAAAAATTTAACCTTACTATATCGATCTCAGCGGCACTAAATAATATGAACTATTGCACGACCTAGAATGCGAACATAATTTAATTTTGTCTAGTTCACTTACTAGATAGAAATCATATTCATCGAATATAATTCACATCTAAGATGTCTTGACGATGAAATGGTAGACACAAGAAACTTCAAATCTTGTGCTAAAGAGCGTGGCGACTCTAGTTCTCTAGGTAGATAGGAGTTAATCAGTAATAGGAATTAAGGCAACTGTAACATTTATAGCTACAAACAGTATGTTGCTATTTTACCGTTTAGAGACCAATAATAAGGGACTAAATTTTCTCCACATCAGTTTTGTTCTTCATTCCAGTCAAGTAGCTATATTAAAAAAAACATCTATACGCTCCTTTGAATCAATAGAGTTGAGGAATAGCTTTCTGTATACTTCATTAGTTCATGAAGAAATACAAATATTGACTATTTATTTTAGATAGATTTATAATTCGGTAAGTATATAAACATACATGTTAACGTATATTGAACCATAAGAAAATATACATTTAGGGGCACTGTCTACGAAGAAGTATGTGAGATGTGGCCAAATAATATTATGTCTTGAGTTATTCTAACTTCAAATGAATGGAAGTAATTCATTGTATACTTAGGTCCCGTTTGTCCATAATATTTTTTTTCCTTTTTTTCAAAAAAAAAAATTAAAAATGTGTCTGTCCATGAAATTTTGCAAGTTTTTCAAAATTTTTCGAAGATGAGTTTTTTAAAAACCACTTTTTCAAATTTTCAAAATAACTTTTTTCCCCACTCACAAAATTGCAACATTTTTTCAAGTGAAATCCATGTCCAAACATAATTTCAAATTCCAAATACGATATTTCAACTTAACTCTAAATATTACTTTTTTTTTTCATAAACTATGCCTACTTAATTTCTATCTTATAGCACGTCAAGTTTATAGTTGTGAAATATGTATTACGGTTAAAATTTATAGTATTTTTTACATAAATTTTGTATTAATTTACATGAGACCATATGCTTAGTCAAGTCCAACTGGAACTCCTCATATATGTAAGAGTTAACTTACACTATAATATGTAATCATTCTTCACACTTAAAAAGGTAAGCAATTTTGTGTTAGCATCCAAGTTGTAGAGCTTCAGTTTTCCCAATATGCCAATCTCCTTTAGTACTCTGCATACAATATAGGAAAAAAAGCTATTGAGTCAATAATTCAATAAATAATTAGATACAATCAAGGGGAGTTAACGTATAATAAATATACATAAAATAAAAAAATTATCTAGCAAAATAGTATAATTTTCCGGCGAAGGGATGTCGCTTGACGCCGCTTGTTTCAATGTAGCACCGCCACTGCTTACGCTACAAAACAAGTTGCACTGGGAGTTCGTCGAATTCAAATCTCTCATTTTAATGTCATACATCTAGCAGTACTGAACTATGTTGCTCGGACTCTCCGAAAATGTGGCCAGATACGTGTCGGATCTTCCAAAAGTAGTACATTTTTGAAGGATCCGACACGGGTGCGGCTACATTTTGGAGAGTCCGCACAACATAGGTACTGAATATGAAACTAAACTTTGTCATGGTAACATGTATTATATGAATAATTTCAAGAACTCATGTTATTTCTAATGAAAATTGTTACCTCATAATTAGATTAGGTCTTCCATTTCCTTGTTATTTGGAGGTAGAGACATCATCGACTTCCTCAGATTCAACCTTAATTTTGTTACATGCATTATCTTGATAATTAGGTAGAGAAGCAGGATCAAGTTCAAAATATTCATCCACCAAACATTCTCTTATATTTTGTGTCAATTTAAAGGAGGGAACTTTGTGAGAAAATCTGTATAATTCATTTGCTGCTATCACAAATGACTCACTTCCACAGTTTCTCCTTTTAAAAATGCTCATAAATCCACTGACTTTTTCCAGATAATGTACCTTTACACCAACATCATCAACAAAATCAGACAAAACCTCTACAATCTCATATTTAAACTGTCGACAGTCTCTGTAAACGGCCCAAATCTCCCCTTTCATAGGATATATCAGATAATAACCCTGCATTTCCCTTTTGCATTTCACTTGATGAGAGAATATATAACGATTCGAAACGTCGAGAGAACTCCCCATTCTAAATCTACCACAACTTATAACCTGTAAGTCATGATTTGTCCAATCAACAGCCTCTAACCAGACCATTTGTAACTTAAATGTAGGAGTAAATACCTGTTTTACTTGGGCATAAAGTCTAGGCATACCATCTAAATTGTCATAACATGCCCAAATTTGGTCGACATCAAAATTTCCTTCTTCTTTATCCTTATCAAAATCATGGAATTCTGCGCGAGGACAATGTACTTCTAGACTTATGACATCCTTATCGTTGTCTGTGTCTGATTTTGATCCATAGTCGACATTCCTATCAGAAAAACTTATTTGCTTGCCCGACATGATGTCTCTCTCGTGTATACTTTGGTTAAGATTTTGCTCCTCTTTACTGTATTCAGATGGTTTTTCTGCCTTAGACTTTTTCAAGGGATTCTCAGAACAATAAGGCCTGCTGCATCCTACATTGAACTCCATCATTGTTACTCTCTCTCTTTTCATAGTTTTGCTCAAGTCAAGTTCTTTTGGTTTCTGTTCACTGCAGCCTACATTATCTTGTTGCTTCAACTTGTCTTCTTTGATATCGCGCTCCTGAAATTGCTTCTCTTTCATACCAATCTCCTTAAGCCTTTTCTCAATCACATTCTCAAATTTTTGTTGCTCATATCTCACTTTGGCAAAAATACCTCGAATCAAATTCTCTTTCTCGTCCAATTTCTCCTCTCTGAGATGAACTTGTTTGACAGCCTCCTCTTGAACGACACTGAATTTGGCCTCTCTTAGTTTCAAGTCTTCAACATATTCTAAAATCTCGGTTTCTTTATCCTCAAGTTGTTTGCGCTTCCTGTTTAGTGATTCTCTTATTAATTCAAGTTCCTTTGAACTTTCATGTATTGATTCTTGAATAGAACACAGATGCTTCTCCCTTGATTCGAGCTCGGAAAAGCATTCTTGAAAACATGTTTGGCTCAAATCCAAGTGTTGTTCAAAATCTTTCCATTCTAACAACAATGTTAAAAGTGCTTTTCGTAGGCCACATTTCTTGGATTCAATCTCTTGTAAAGCATCAGAAATCCTATTCAACAGAACCATCTTTAATCTAATGAATTATCAAATGTACATAAACTCAAGCACTTCTTTTCTATAAAAATTTTGCTGTTACCATTTTGAGAGACTTGTAGAGTTGATGCTTGTGTTTAGTACTTGTGAAGTACTAATTCATCTTAGCCCTTCAATTACCTTTTTCATCCAATCAGATCAAACATCATATAAGAGCTGCATGTCAGTTCAGTTTCAAAACATTTTACAAGTACTCAACAATACATTCTTAACCTCTGTCCTTGTCATTTTCTCTAACCTCCTATATATTTCTTACCTTTTCTTGTCCCTTTAAGACCTTTTAATTTGTATATTCTTATAATTCAATCATATGAGCGATAAGGTTAAAATCCCACATACCAGCTAGCTACTGTGTAAACTAGATATAAGCTTTTGAATTCCCGAGATTATAATGTAGTGACAAAGTGGTTTCAAAATTTGCTTTATGTTGTATTACGTTCTAGTAATTTTTCTTGAATTCCCTTTCCGGACTAGAGAATAAAATATACTACTTAATTAGTTACCTTTTTTATGAAGAAAATATGCCAAAAATATAAGTATAGTTAGTTACTATCGTTTACATCAAATACAAATAATAATGAACCAGTAATGATTGCAAATCAGGTTTGTTTAAAACATTTTATTAGGAACAATAGTGATTATATTTTCTGTAGGTTAACTGTCTTCTTATATCGTACTTCTAATATAGTACGATTTTAGAGAAGCTGGTTGCTTGAGAAGTATACAACAAAACAAAGGCAATACTTGTTACCAGAATACTTTTTGCACGCTACATAATGCTCTGTCGTTTGGAACTCTGGAGTTGAATAAATTATCAGTTTACTTATATATAACAGCAAAATAAAACACTACAAATCAACTGTAGGTGCAGGAAGCAACATCCTCAGTTTAAATTCAAATGTCATTAAACATACACGTGCAATTACAAAAACTAACAACAACAACAACAACAACAATAGTAATAATAATAATAATAACAATAATAATAAAAAAGTGTACTACAAGAATAACAAAACATAAGTTGGGAGTTTTAACATTTTATTAGGATACAGGGAAGGGAAAATGGGAAAAGAGGGGCAAGTCTGAAATTTAAACTTAATGACTTCAACCTCTAGATTCTTACCACTATACTCATTGCACTTCTAAAATTATAAGTTAAGTATTTAATATCCACTCTATGCCGAAAACAACACATTGAACCCATGCTCCAGCCATCTCTGATACGGATAATGGAGGATTTAAAAAAGAACTGAGGAAATGTCCAACGAGGAATAACAATAAAAAATACAAATTAAGTTGCACATTAGAACTTTCTGAGAGCCACATATATTTACATGTCAATGCCTGAAATCTACAACTAAAAACAAGTATTCACAAATGGCTCGAGTCGCTATGCATATCCCCTTTCACCGTATACACTGGAGGACCTTGCTTATGTTCCTCATTTTCCGTTTAAGATGGAGATCAGTCTGATACTAGAGTTGAACATCGCAGATGTGGAGAAATGCCTCGGTTCACATCAAATTCTGAAACCAGTGTAATATATTCTCCAGAACATGGTTCAGAAATGATCCCACCAAGCAAATGGAGGATACTTTGAGCATAGTACATGGTAAGTATACCTTCAACACTCCTTGTTTGAGCTCTGGTATGGAAAAATTTGTGCTTTTACCGGTTGGTGTTGAAGCAAATCCAGAATTGGTTAGGAGATCAGCATCATTCACCACTTCAGAGTTTTTCGGGCTTTCTGAGAGAAGCTCTTCACAGTGACTTTGTCTGCAAATGTTAACGGAAGTTCCTCGTCAGCCTCCTCTCTTTGATCACACCAGGCCCCTGTATTACTATTATCTTTTGACTTTCCCTCCAAAGGTTCACGGGACGAGTAGGAATCCTCTGGTATCTCCCGATACAAGTGTTTCAGAATAAAAAGAGCTGTATCATTATCTCTCCAGTAGTTCCTGTAAAAAAAAGTAAATCATTTGAAAAATATCAATTCACAATAGAACAAGAGGAAAATCTTTGCTATCAAAAGCTGCGGTAAAGACAAAATTCATTAAACAAAATTCTATGGGTCAGCAAGCATTTTTGACCTGACAATGCCTCGTCAAGAAAACGATCTGCAACATAGTAAAAATGAACCATAGGAGGGAAGGGTTCAAATCCTAGTAGAGGCAAATAACCCTAGGTGATATTCCCTCATATCCATCTACTCTTGGTAGATAATGATATACTTTTGCTGGTGGGAGGTAGCAGGTACCCGATGGATTAGTTGAGGTATGCATAAATTGCCTGAACACCACCGTTATCCAAAAAATAAAGAGTAAAAACTATACCAAACATTTTGAAGCAGCAAAACCTAAACTAAAAAAGCTTATTATATGGCCAAGTTTGATTCAGCTTTCTTAAAAACCCTCCCCATCTATGTAGAAGAATGCAACAAATGGCATTTGAAAATATGAGACTATTAACAGAGTTGTCCAAGGATGTCTGAGAGGCCGGCAACAATGTAAGTATACCAAGCTTGTTCAAAAGAAATGTTGGTTATGACTCAAGAAGCTTCAACAATCACCTAAAGGAATCCGAAGCCAGAAAATCATACAGGATAGGCAACATGAGACCACATTCTCCATGGTCAACAAACAAGGGAGAATAAGAAGAAAAGCCCACATACATGCTACTAGAATATGTCAGGGTTCATTATACACAGAAAGTCAAATGTACGTTTTCTGATTAGCTAACTGCTCAATTAAGTAGGCGTTTGGAAATACATTATTTGCAAATATTATTTGCAAACCAATGTTCGTTCTACAATTTTGTCCATATCTACTTGAAATAGAGAATTTGAAGCAGTGTTATCACAGGCGAAAAGCGCAAAAAAGCTCTAAGGCCCGTTGGGGCTTTAAGCGTAAAGCGCAAATAAAGTGTGTGCTTTAATGAAAAAAAGCGCAACTGGAGAAAAAGTAAAAATATGTATATGTAGTCCAAGACCAATAATTATAAGCATGAATAACAAATATATGGACAAAAAAATTGAAGAAAAAATAACGATAAAGTGAAATATCAATTATCCAGTGTTGCATTTTCAGGATTACACTCATTGGCAAGGAAAAATATGCCCGAGAGCCTTGATGGGGCACTGAAGCGCCCGCAAAGCGAGGCGAAGCGCTCAACATGTTTTGAGCCTCGCTTTAGGGCTTAAGCGCGCTTTAAGCGCGCCTTTGACAACACTGATTTGAAGTTGAAAATTTGATGAGTATTTTAAGTGAAATAACGGTTTTCACTAAGAAAACTCATTCTTATTCCAAGTGAAATTCATGTCTGAACACAAGTTAACTTTCGTTATACAATGACTTACTTTCAGGTTAGCAAACTAAACAAATTCAAGGGAAAACCAATTTAAATATGCTTTTTTTTCCGAAGATCTAAATGATGAAAAATCCGATTTCTAGATCCACACCCGTGTCGGGTGCCCACATCCATATCCGAGTAACTAGTCAAGAACAGTAGGTAATGAAGATGACAAGGAAGAAAAAGCTTCTAGAATAAATTGACCAAACTTTTGCTCGACCGAGCTCTATGATTGACAGGGATGGTTGACTTAAACATGCATTCCAGCCAACAACGAAACCGTCCTGGACAAATTTTGCTTCCAAAAAGTTCGATTGACACAGCCACAAAGCAGAGAAATTCATATTTTTTTCTTTGAGATCTTTAATTAACGAGTCTATCAGGGTTCCTATTGCATAAGAAAACTATATTGAGTTACAGAAAATGTCCACTATGACAAGCAAAGATTTGAAAGAGTTCCTTAACGAGAAGTACTGGAAATTCCTAGGGTAAGGACCTTAAGTAGTGGAGCAAATTGACACTGGTTGAACTGCCATAACCATTAAGCACTTCTATCTCTAATACTTAGTTCAGACTCCTCCAGAGCTGTTGTCATTTTGCATATTATACAAGTTTTAAAATATGAAAAGACACTGAAAACATAGAGAAGGTTATTTCTCACTAAAACACTTTAGAACAACAACCCCTTCTTCATTTGTGCAAAGAGAAGTTTATGGTTTCTAAAAGCACTTTCAATTAGTATTGAGAGGAAACATGCAATTGACTTAATTGACTCTATTAGGTTGATAAGGATACTTACGTGTGCGCTCCAAGGGTTGAAATGTATGCATGTCGAAATGTTTTATCCTGCGAAAGAACAGATAAAAACAAAAGGCAATTGGGACTGGTAAGTATAAATACAGTAACGTGTGCACGGACACTGCCAGTTGTTAATGAAAGAAACACATACGAAGAACCATATGATATGTACAAACATATTTATAATTAAAAAAACTGATGTACACACAGAAAATGAAGTTCAATTAGTCATGTGGATTTGGAAACGGCTACAAGACTTAAGTTCATTTTTACAATCATGTGAATTTCAAAAAGAACAACAACTTGGATGTAGAACTGAAGTTCACAACATTAACAGATAATAAAGCAGAATATTTTGTTTTCCATTCAATGCGAGAATTTACCAATTCTGAGTGTACAAGAATTTGTAATATAGTTAGGTGATAAAGCTTGAAGGGGAGTCTTGGCGTAACTGGTAAAGTTGCTGCCATGTGACCAGGAGGTCACGGGTTCAAGCCGTGGAAACAGTCTCTTGCGGAAATGCAGGGTAAGGCTGCGTACAATAGACCCTTGTGGTCCGGCCCTTCCCCGGACCCCGCGCATAGCGAGAGCTTAGTGCATTGGGCTGCCCTTTTTAGGTGATAAAGCTTCTACAAAAGCTGAGTCAAGCAACAGTAAACATGTAGAGAACCAATTCAATTCGACCCGTTCACCATCTGTGAGTCACTATGGAGAACAATTCTGTTCAATCCATTCCCTATCTGAGCCAGTGAGCCTGTCAGCACTCTCTTGTATGACTCCCCTTGGATAAACAGTTTTTCACCTACCTTGGCACATGCAAACCCAATGGGGAGAACTAGCTAATAGAGATCTCCTTCCTTAATGTAACTGGGACTTGTGCAACTCTACAATTCACCACTTGCTCTGTATCTTCAACCAGATAATTACTCAATGTTGAGAATTCTGCTTGGAATGTCCAGCTTATCAAGTCACAGTGACATGCTCACCACCTTATTTCACATGTGGAGAATGTGAACTCCCAAAACTTATGAAAGCCATCAAGTTTATTTTGGATTTAAAACAGCAAAGCCACCTCCTGCTAAAACTAATTAGTGTAAAGGAGATAACTGTCAGATTTCCCAAAGCTCTACAAAGCTCATTCGCGAAACTAATAAGTGCAAAGGAGATAATTGTCCGATTTCTGAAAGCTCTACAAAGCTCATTAGCTCGTTTAAGTAAGTTTGCAAGAGAAGAGGACGGGTCCAAATTTCTTCTCCTCGGGGATACCCCCCCCCCCCCTCGATATGGTAAACCCCACCAACCAAACTGCTTCGACTTTTTTTTTTAGAATGATAACATTTTATAAATATAAAACAGCACAAAGTTTGTGCTGCTAAAAGTGACAGAATACATCCCCAAAAAAGTAAAAGAATCCCCCACTACAAAAACTTACAAGGATTCTATGATATCAAGTACGGAGTTACTATCATTTACAGGGCATTCTTTACACCAAAAAAGAGAAGTACTAAACAGTTCATTTTGATTTTCTGAATGGAGTTGCTAACATCCTCAACTGCTTCGACTTAGGAGTCAACAGTGGCCCTGCCTCACATTGCTCGCTTAGTGATTCAGATCCCCAACCTCAAGGTTGAAGATGGAGGGTCCTTTCATCAGCCTAGTCCCTGTCCAAACTACTACTCCTTGTACTCCATACCTAGAGTGAATAACCCAAGAGATGAACAAGAAAAGAGAGGTACTCGATGATTTATGTAGTAAAATCTTCGAGATCCAGAGTAAAGTAAACCAACAGTGCTTTTGCTCAATCTTGTTTTAGACACCAACAGATAGCCGTGAGTACTCATTGGTTTTGGCAATAGTTAATTAAGGAGAAAAGAAAAAAGAATTCTATGAAGTTTAATTAGTTTTCCCAAATATAAAAGAGATAATATAGAACTTCAAATAATTGCTTGCATAGCTCCGTCTACAATGTTGGCCAAAACCTCTAGAAGTCTGGATAACATCCTAAGCTGCAATCTAGATTCAATTCTCAATTGATCTGTCAACGATTTTATGCCAAAAACCAAACTAGAAGAGGTTGGGATTTTAATCGGCTAGGAATTGATTTTTTCCAGTAACCAAAAAATCCCCGAGGGCTAGTGGTGCACGGTTCGAAACTCGGAGGATAATAGGTCTGCCATTCTACCCTTCTCCACTTAACTGTGACCAATATAAGATTGGTCAAGTTAAAATTGAACAAATGAAATAGGACTATCAAGTAGAAAAAAAAATTACACCTAAACTATGAATTAAATATTGGATAAAATTTCCTTCAGTGTTGTGTAGCCAGAGCTAACAATCCACTAAGCATTGCCCAAGAACATATAAGGAGGCAAATAATCTACATCCCTACCGATGTGGGAACTCGACAATTAGTTTTTTCTTATGAAAGATTTTCTGCTGCAAATGAGCAATTAGAAGTTATTCTTTATTTTTTCTAGGGAAAAGCAAATGGCAAGTAGCAATTTTTCACCGGGCTTCTAGAGCGTAGATAAAATAGCACGGGAGCCCAAACTTGGTAAATCAAGAATAAGGATGGGTCTGGCCATGGATAGAAAATGGACCTAGGGCCTAAATCGACCGTAAAAGCTAGCTCATAATATGAGAATTGCTCAGCACCATAAGGAGACAACAGTCTATACCCTCAACCAATTTGGGATATTTAAAACTCCCCACACATGGACAACATAACATTGGGGGTCCAACATTGGGTAAACAAGAATACATGTGTTTCCGCTAACACCATCTTAAGAAAATGAACCTTGAACCTAACTATCCCTCTAATACCATGTTAAGAAAATAGAAGTTGTGCCTAACTCAACCCCAAAACTTGGCTCATGAGGTGAAAATCGTCTAAATTATATAAGGATACAACAACAAATCATAAACCAATGTGTGACTATAAACGAAAGATAACTTGGCATTGTAAATTGCTATTTAAGGGAACACATGAATACAAGCCAGTGGTGTCCGCATCTATGAAGCATACATATCAGGGTATGAACACCAAATGACTAGAACGGCTACAGTGAAAACAATGAAAGGGTAGAAAAATCAAGAAGAAAAGCCATGTAGAAAGAAAGACCCCACAAAAAGTAGTAAGCCTTCAATTGCACAAGAAGCTGGGAAGACAAAATGTTAATTGCACAATTGTTTCAAGGTCTATGGCGAATGAACGTACTTGTAAAACATGATCTATTCGACCATCTTCACTTCCAGTTAATCTCTCCATCATAATTGAACCATACGACCTCTCTTCTTTCTCCTGGTACTCTTGGGACTCCTCTGCAAAAAGTGCCACATCAGTACCTAGAAAGATAGGAAGCTAAAGTGTGTTTTTGTTTTTTTGGGGAGATGGAGGCTCCAGCTTGATTTAGAGCTGATAGCTTCTGTGACTGAGAAAAAGGAAGAGGAACTTCTATAATCTAAAATGAAGAAAGCAGACGAATAAGAAATGCTTGCTTCTATTACCATCTTCGCCATTGTTGTATCTTGATTGACAAAGAGTAATCACCTTTACCTGATTAAAAATTGTCATTAAGATCCAAAACTCATTGGCATCGTGAGACCTAATCGAAAAACCATAAACTAACCATAGAAAATAAGGCTAAACACTAAAACGAGCAAATCCACCAATCTTATGTAAATGACTTTGAATGACAGATGAGTTCATGCCACACCAACCAAATAAGGACGAAAAAAGAAAACCTGGAAACCTCATTTCCCCTGCAGATATGATGATATTTAAAGATTCAAAGCATCGCACTTGTGGGGAAAAAAAGCAAAAAGCTAAATATGAAGAAGCCACATTTTCAGCAAGATAATTGGATGGAGAGTATCAAGTTATAGAAGCATAATCCAAGTCGTTCAGTTCATGGTTTCAACAATAAGCTGATATAAAACGAAACAAATAACTGTTCTCAATTTCAAGCAATCAAGTCAGCAAGGATCTCTAGTTTAACCAGCCATTCATTGATATTGTAAGGTCATACGAGGATCTCTGCTTTAAACAGCTATTCTGGAATTTGTTAAGGTCATTTGTAATTCAACCAGCATAAGACATTAGCAGCAAGCCATAGATTTAACTCTTCAAGTGTCTATCTTTGCAACGTTACAGGACATCAAACTTCTTAATGAGTGATATAAAATCTTATCGTCTCAATTAAACATACAACCCTTACGTACATGTATCGTAACACAAACAACTAGGGAGAAAAATTAAAAACACACCTTTACAGAATTTATATTGTTCGCGAAAGCCTGTGAACGCAAAGCTACTTCTTCTTTAAATTCCTGCACCAAACAGTAACAGGATGCACATTAATACAGATGGTAGAAGGAACCTAACACGTTAATTATGTAACTATGGAGGCCTTACCTGAAAACCAATATGCAGTCGTTTCCCACCTCTGTGGTAGGGTATTATGACGGGGCGTTTGTTGAGATATTCTTTACAGACAAGTGGTTCTAATCTGAAATAGGAGAGAAGCAGGCATGAGCTTGTATAACAAAAAAATTGACAAAACATAGCAACAATGTCGACTATGAAACCTGTATGCCACAGGATCACAAGGGTGGAAAATGTTGAACATTTGTCGACAAGCTGGCATCTCTTCGAGTATGTTATCCTCTTCCCAGTAATCTTTCCCCTTGCCTGCCATACCAGGATAAAACGGAAAATAAAAAATGATAACTAAGTGCAACCAGATGCACCACCATCTTTAACAGAGAGAAGAAAAGAACTGGAATATTTCATACTCCAAACTTGAGTTGCCTAGTACCAACAAAAGAAAATGAGTTAGGTATCTCCCATATAAAGTAAACAAGGCATCAAAAGACACCAGCCACCGCCAACAGACAGAGTTTATAGGATCCATAGGGTACTTGGAACTTGCAAAACTAAAGGCAACACAATGCACCAGGAGGAGTTGACAAACATTTTTTAATGTTACTCAAGTAATGTAATACCCCATAATTTAACCCGAGGACAAATTGGTCATTTAGCTAACGAAAAAAAATGGAACAAAAAGGGCCGAAGCCCACCAGAAACAATCTTGCAACATTCAAAAGGGTTTAGAGGAATGAAGCCAAAGGCTTCAAGAAAAAAACAAAAATAAACAGCAGTAGCCGTCAATCAAAGTTTCAAAAGAACGAACCACGACAATGCAACTGAAGAAGGAAATTTCACCTCATAATTGCTACCCGTGAAAGCACTCTTCGACTTAAAGGTCAAATTTTCCCTTCCTTTGATTCTACTTGGGTTTGTAGCGATTTCTTTTAATTTTGATCACGCTGTTTATGAGATTGAATTGGATATCGAAAGTTTAATACCGGCAAGAAATATTATAAGCCACAATATTAGTCAAGTTCCTTCTAATTCACATGATTAATGAGATTGAAGGGTATAGTGAATAGACAATACGAATGCGCTTTAATTAGAAGATAATGAACTGGTCTGGGTTAATTGTAGCATGAGTAGATATAAATTTTCATAGGTCGAGGTAAACAGTAATATTTGCAACTCAAAAGTAGTTTGATTCAACTCATATAGATATGAGAATACCCATGAGTAACTAGAATCTTTATTGTGAAATAGGCTAAGTAGCAAACAAGGCGAACCGTATCAAATTAATATTTTTAATAATTTAAGTATATAGTCAAAATGCTTACTTAACCTGTTGAGCTTCTGTAAAACCAAAGAGGATATATGATGTAAACTATTAATTTTATTCCTTGCAAAATTTTCAATATATTTAGAAGAGAAGTTGAAAAAATAAAGGTTTGGGATTTGAAAAAAAAAAAAAAGGCAAATTTGTGATAGATTTTGAAGAAGCAGAATTACTCATAGCTTGGGTAAAATAAGAATAATAATTTGACTAATTGAGAGTCAAATATATAACCCCGATGATTGGGTATTCTAAATTAGCTATGAATTAGCCTAAACAAGGAAATTAACATGAGATCGATATTATGTAATTATAGATTGATTGGAGGAATTTGTACGAGTTGCTTGAGGTGAAGCAGTTGGTATTTCGGCACGAGTACTGTGAGTAGTAATCTTACCGCAATTTGTGTTTTCATAACTTGCATGATTTACACATGATTTTTAATATGAATATGTTACCGATTATTTTGAGTTGCATGTGGGACAAGTCTTTTACTCGATATGATACCGAAATAGTTATTTGAGATAAATACCGTGGTTTTAAATATTTTCGTTCTCACTAGATCTGTTTTACCGTTACTTGAATTTACTGTTATCGAAAGGAAATTATATGATTTGATAAGAACCGAAATGCCCTATATTGTTTTAAAATAGTTTATACGAGTATATATACGAATTATAGAGACAAGTATAAATGGGAGTAGACTTTGAAGGATCCCGTAGCTAACGGCGGGTTCGTTAGACCTGGTGCACCTTGTAATTACCGATTACCGCTCGCTAGTGGGAAGGTAGAACTAGCATACCGTTACAGATTTCCCTCGAGTAGGTACTACCGTTATATTTGACTTCTTGCGAAGAAGTCCACGGTTATACCGATTACATGATCCGTTCATTGAAACCTCCCAAAATGTGAATACTGATATTATACAGTGGTTACCAAGCTTATTACTGAATTGTTAATTATATTATACTACAAGAAAAGTGTGATGAGACTTGAAATTTTTTTTATTATTTCTGAAAGGGCATTTTTATGTATTTTCTCTTTGAGATACTAGCATGTTTCTAACTTGTCCCCAAATAAAAACGGTTGTGGTTAAGTGTTATTACTCACTGAGCTAGCGACTCATTCCCCACTAATTTTTTTTTACAGAGACAGCAGTAGACGCGGGCGATGATTTCGTTAATTAGAGCGCACAGGTTGATAGTTCTTGGTGAGCCTCGCACTTGTTCGCATGGGCGGAGATTTTATTATATTATTATACTCTTTTCTTTGAATTCTTAGAGTCGCTCCATAGTCATTCTTTTAGTGTCATGAGTATTATTTTGCTATTAGTCTTATGTTGAGTATCGTTCTCATTTATCAAAGTTGGAGATAAATTAGTATTTCTAGCGGTTACTTGGTGGTTTTGTTATGATGGAGACTTGTATTGGTTAATTGACAAGTTGTCAATTGTTTGGTATGATATTAGGATGTTTGGTTGCTGATTTGAGACTGGGAAATTTTTGGGATAGTCCAAAAACAGGGGAAACTCTGTCCGATTTTCTGTAAAATACCGATGAGGCTTACTTGGGGGCACTTGCTCCTAGGTGCCGATGATGATCCTAAATTGGGTCGTGACAAGTAAAAAGAAGGATAATCTTTCTGCTGCATATAAACAAAGATTAGGTTTATACTGCACACAGGTCAGCAGATTTTGATGTTAGTTAAAGTAAACTTAGTTGATCTATGAAAACTAACACTAGATGTCTTACTGAAACATTCATGCAAACAGACAAGAACCTTACAGGCTTACTGGTAATATATTCAAGAGGCTCATCACAGAAGTAGAGAGTATATACCCCACTGCCTCCACAAGATTCAGAGTAAAAATAAGCAATAAAATCAACATGCACTTAAATATAGGCAGCAGAAGAATTACCGATCCCAATACGAGCATTGCGAAGAGAAAGAAAAACACCAAGAGGGGATCCAACAGCGAAATATGTATCGACCTTCTCATAAAAGAACCAAAGAACGGAACAGCCAAAGTTAGAAGATGTCTTGGAGCTCCTAGAATGGACGGAGAATAATCGCAAAAATTAAAAGATTAAATTATCAGAAACAAGTTAATGGATTCAAAGAAAATTGATAATTACACTATATAGCAGAGCATCTTCTACTAGAGAAATGATGAAAGCATAATACAAGCATTTAGTTCAATAAGGTTAACGACTTTGTTCTGGAAGCATTTAAAGAACATTGAAAGTCCAACTACAACGTCCAGCCAAGACTAGCCAAACACACCCCAGAAAATAGTAGAATCTTACAATGGAGAAGTATTACCTTAAATTTCAACTTTGTGTATCTTATTTGTGGAGTATAACTCTTCGGTGAATCCCTCTCCTCATGAGAAAGCCTTTCAGAAGTAGATTGATTTCTTGTAACTGTGTTTGTTCCTCCATTTTCTGCTTACATTACACATCCCATTCCAAGGAAATTTATAAGGTCCATTTACTTTGATACTCAAGGAAAATATGCTTGAAGTTTTGGAAAGTTACAAAAGTAAGCTCCATAAATGGTTATTTATTCTGTGTAGCTGTACCTTTCTTTACATACTCAGATTCTAACTCTTGGATTTTTGCTCTCAGCATATCAATCTGGGCCAGTCTCATTGACGAAGAAAAATAAGTAGATATAACAGATTAAAACAAATGAGAAATTTCATGCAGAAAATGAAATATCACACTACCTCTTCCCTCAGTGAATTGATTGTTCTATCTTTGTCACTTTCAGATGCTCCCTCATCAATTGTTTTTTTATCAAACTCAACTATTGCATCTTCCATTTTCTCGGCTTCAATTATCGTGTCCCTCTCATAGATATTATGCGTCCAATCAATAGGAGGTTCACGATAATTTTCAGTCGCTGAGGAATCATTAGATTGCTTGAAATCATCGGTTGCAACTGGTTCGTCTGAGTCTGATGAAGCAGGAGGACCCACTGGATGACAGAAATCCTCTGTACAAGCTTCCAGGGGGTTACTCGGTTCTGCCTTCATTTTGTCTTTATCTGACAGATTACTCTTATTTTCTCCCCTAGTAAAGCTTTCATCATCTAAACTGGAGGCAGAGTTGTGATCGAAAGATAGGTTGCTCTGATCCGGCTGAGATGATTTATCCTCATTTTGTTCTTTGTACAACCACTCCATGGGAAAAGGGGAGGAAAGTTTTATTTGGTGGCATAGGATATCATATGACAAGACACTCCCAAGGGAATGACCATATAAGGAAATCTGAAAATTTTACAAAATTTTAATATCTTTAATATGATCTGTTTACATTGAGTTCTTAAAAATAAGCAAAGAAAACTTTGCAGGTTCAATCATCTCTATACCTTTCCACTATAACCGGGATTCCTCTTAAGAAACTTTAAGTATAACTTATTCAACTGGTTGGAGACCTGAATAGAGAATAAACAATTAGCTCCAGACACTAATGAAAATTATTTTTATTGATTTGTTCCAAAGACATTTAAAAGTAGGCAGTTGATAGACCATAATGAGTGCTAATGCCTATCACATGAAGCAAAGGAAAATTAATGGGTTAATATGCTAAAATGGCATCTACAGAATGTACTCACAGAAACGAAGAGGATAACAACTATGCCTCAACCCGTCGGAAGTTGGGTTCAAGCTACATGATTGTCCATTTCACTCAATTTGAACCATTCCATTTCCAGTACTCATTATTCAACAGTTAATATTAGAGGTTTACTACAATTTCTACTAACACATTAATCTTAAACTAAAAAAATCCTAGCAAATGCTGAACCAAATTTTAGTCTATTATAGTGACTAAGCTTTAACCCCAACTAGGTGGTATCGCCTATATGGATCTTTTGCTTCCATTCTATTCTATTTCTGCTAAGTTTGCATGGATTTTGAGAGATTAAAGGTCTTTTGGGACAAACTTTCTTTCCATGCAAGTTTAGGTCTGCCTCATCCCCATTTAACACTTCCAATCATCATGGTTCTGTTCTATTTCTGCTAAGTTTGCATGGATTTTGAGAGATTAAAGGTCTTTTGGGACAAACTTTCTTTCCATGCAAGTTTAGGTCTGCCTCATTCCCATTTAACACTTCCAATCATCATGGTTACACACACCCATAGAGCGGTGCATTTGGATGTCTTTATAGGTATTGAAACCAAACATTAACGACACAGCAAAATGAGGGGTAAATTAATAGATAATTCATAAAACATAATAAAATGCTCGTCAGGTCAATTTGACCAAATTCTTTGCAGAAAGTCATGCTACTCATGCAATACGCTAAGTCCCACAGGAAGGACATTAAGAGTCACTTTCTAGTTGTGTCACTATCCTTATGCTTGGGAAGCCTTGTATTTTGTCATTTTCGTTTGGTAAAACTGGTTGAATTGTTTGTGGTGCCTTTAGTGCAGTTCCATTACACGTCTCTCTCTTTTTTTCTTTTTCTTTTTTTGACAAGCAGAACCTTCGATCCCTCAAGTTAGAATAGACTACTTTTGATATATTTTTTCCACATTTCTATTCCAGCATTAAGATTTATCCTGCATGCCTAGTGCACATTCAGTTTTCTTAGAAGCAACATTATTTGTATAACAGAAAATTTTCTCAATATAAGTTACTTTCTCAATTTGTATTACCCCAGTGTGGGATAATTTCCCACAGGGTATGTTGTTGTTGTTGTATAAGTTATTTTATGATTTGTAGTTAAAATTCAGTAAATAGTTTAGAATATATTAACTTATAACTTCTTTGAGTGATTTACACGTGTATCGCTTCATTTAAAAAGGAACTATTTCTTTGCAACATTGGAAGATAATATACTGGGCACTAGTATCCGGCATATGCAGGATTTCGTCATGACAAATGCTACTGGGCAATTCCTCCCATCACAGCCAATATTTAAGAAAGCTAAACATAAGGTAGAGATTCAAAGAGGAAAGGGATTCCCTTTTTCTTAATAAAGCATAGAATTTTATAAAGTGAACGGACGTATAGGGATACATATGATCAGATATTTCCTTTCAGGGTGGGTTTGATTATAAATGAGGCGGGTTCTTTTATCCAACCAGGATTAGCCACGTGTATTTTTTAGGTTGGGATGAAGGATTTAACGGGTGAGGGGTAAATATGGTCTAAAAGTATGACGGTAGGAGTAGTTATACTAAGAAACTGAAACGGAGGGTAGATGGAGCTTATTTTCGATAGTAGAGGGACAAATACGACCCTTTTCCATTATTTTAATTTACCCATCTTCTGAAAATTTAACAAATATAAGACCATAAGAGTACACAATTATTTTCCTGACATTTTACAATTAATAGGAAAGCAGTAGGTTATGTGCACCAGTTGGTTCACATATCAACAGCCAGGAAGTGAACCACTGCCAAGTGTAAATAGTGTTATTACGACGGAATTTTTCTTTCTTTTTTCCAGTTAAGTTGTTATTAGGATAGGATTTAAGGAAGACAACACCAGTTTGAAAAGAAGAAAATAGGCAGCAAATCAAACAAAAGAGCAAAGCAACATCAGGAAGAGGAAAGGACAGCGGGAGAAAACTTGAACAGCAGAAATCAAATTTGAGGTACCGAATCAATAATCGCCTGGCAGTAAATGGGGCTCATGTAATACAGCACATCATGCACTGTTGCACTCAACACCTCACGCAATCCCCGCACACCATCTAAAGTAATTTTTTCAACTGTGGTCTCACCACTAAGCTTTAAGCCCTTTCTCCACTGGTGATACCCACAGTCGAAACATAAAAACAACTGGTGTTAGTTCACATTCACAAATCAACAGGAAACAGCAATGGACAGACTTATGCAGAAGAAAAACCCAAAATATTATATGACAGGAATGCAGAAGATAAACTTAAACATGCTAAGGGGCAAGGGAAAAGGCATTCTTGTAATTAACAAGAAATGTTTAATCAAAAGAATATAACAGGAAATCTTAGAGCTGCAGCAAAGGTGATAATCAGAAATAACTCTATTGAGCACCACTAAGCAAAAACAACCTTGGTACCCTCGATTTGGCCTACTTCAGCCTTTTATGATCTCAAGGAAGACCCCCAACCAGAGGGCAGATCACAAATGGTCTCAGATCGCTAGGCCCCGAATCACATGTCCAGTAGATGATTCTACTTACTAATTTTAGATGCTTCAAATGCTCATTGTTATAATAAACATTCGTTACTTGCTTCATTAAATTCCTGCTATGCTCGATCCAAACAAACCATACTTCCGGCCCCGAGCTATTCCTAAAAATCATAAGATTTAAAACCTGAGTTGTAATAAATGGTATCTTCTCAGTAGAAATGGTGTCAACACTGCAGCTCTTCTCAGTAGCTGGAACAATGGAGGGGCAAATATTAAACAGAAGAAATGGTGGAAAATTGTTCCTGCTTGTATCTGGTGGACCATATGGAAAGAAAGGAATGCCAGAATTTTTGAAGATAGGCCTAGTTCTTACCAGAAAATTAAGCTTAATTGTTTTTTGTTATTCCATTTTTGGTGTAAAGAGAGCTATAGGGAGGATGTACACTCTTTATTAGACTTGCTAGAAGAAATGTAATCGAATAGAATAGGCTTTGGTAGTCTCACTGACCCTTTGAGGGTCTGATTGTGACCTTCACAATCTCTTGTAAATTTTTTACACATTTATATAATTGTTACCATTCTCAAAAAAAAAGAATGGTATCTTCTCCCATATTATGTTGAACTTAACTTTGGATTATGAAACCTAAAGATTCCGGCCAAGTTACTGAAATATCCTCCTTGAAAGTTGACTCGAATGACATGAAAAGCTAAAAGGAACTAGACTCGGGAAATGTGCTTGGGAGCATTTTGGAGGCTCTTCCAAGCAAATCGGGGATGCCTTTTATTGATTGAGATCTTCTTCCGATAAAGTAGTTTTATAAAACAAAATATGGTTGAGATCTCTATAGTTATAGTCCAAGGTAGTGTCAAAAACAATTTCTGAACTCTTTTCATCACAAGGACATATGATTGTTTTCATAACAATATACCAAAATAAGAAATTTAATAGACCAACTATGAAAGCATTACCTGGCATGGGATAAAGAGGACTCTCTGAGTGCCACGTTGGTACGAGGTTAAATGTCGTTCAGCAAGGATTGACGTGATATGACGAAAGTCACTAACATCATCCACAAGATTTGATTTTTCCAACCTTTGACCAATACCATGAACCATGAACACCAGATGTCGAACAGGGACCTATACCAGCAGGATCCAGATGTAAAGGTTGTACTAAAAAGCTACCTTAGAACTTAAAAGGAGACCATTCTTTAAGGATGTCAAAAGTGGAAAAGATGAGAGTCTGGTATCTACAATTAGATCACGAACAAGTTTATGGATAACTTCTTTTAGGAAACATTAAGAATTGCGACTAACTTGATCAGCAAAGAAAAACGAAAAACAAAAATGAAGTTAGGGGAAAATTGATTAAACAAGTAATTACTAAATTCTGAAGAATATGGATAAAGACATATCATGCAGATAGAACCGCCTCAATGAAAATGAACAAGATTAGTTCGTCTTTTCTTCACATATACTATCATCATTTTTAATAAAAAGATAAAGTGAATTCATGCACAAAGATGAGAGATAGGCAAAGGGCAAAGCACAAGACCGTATACAGAGGTTGAACTAGCTAAATAAATGAACCTTTACTTCTAAAAAAACTTTTGCTTCTGTGGTCATTTTACTATGTAGCATTCTCTCCCTAAGGGACATAACTGATGCAATAATACTGAAAAAGTAAAATAGGTCATGCAGCTCTTATGTTGTAAGCACAGTATGCTGACCTGTCCCAGAGCTTGTTATGGTGTAGGATAAGATAACGGTGTATGCTAGCAATGCAACATAGCATATATCAGCCAATTTAGACATTGTTCAGTGTGCTAAAGCTGTGATCATCTTCCAGATCAATACACAATTAGCTCTTAGCTATTACTCTTAAGCTTTACGTTCGGATTGATTCCCTACTTTAGCTTAGCATTTTCTCGAGCTTGCATAGTTCCTAAATGTGTTTTTTCAGCTGGTATCAGAGCTAGAGGTCCTTGGCTATTGATAGTAAATAGCGTCCGAGACAAAAGATCTAACGGATTTGTTACGAAAACTCTCTGCAGAATTTGCTTTTGAGGCAAATCAGATGGAGCAAGCCTTGTTGAGTTCAAAGGTATTGAGCAAGACTAGATAGAGTTGAGGAGCCAGCTTTCCCTGGAATTTCAGGCAAGACTTGTTCTCGAAGTGCGATGCCATGTGCACACAGAGAGCAAGATGACGCACAGCTCATGTTACCAGCAAGGTAACACCATGTTGACTCGTTCTTCTAAGTTGGAATTCCCTCATTTCAATGGCTCGGATCTGAAAACATGGCTTTACATAACACAAAAGCCATTTCATAAGCTCGCTTCAAAATACAACAGCTCTCACCAGATTTTGCAGAACGTTCCTATAGCTTCTTCTTCTAACATGCTTGTGGATACACCCTACCTTGCATGTCTCTGAACCCAAACTTTGCCATAAAACTATGGCTCAAAATAACTACCCTCCTGTTATTAACATCACTGGCCCACATTGCCCTCAACCCATTGCCATCCTTGATTGCCGGCTTGTCAAGAAGGGAACAAGGTTGTTCCACAAGTCTTGGTTCAATGGTAGTCAACAACACCAGAGCATGCAACAAGGCAGAACCTCCACTCTTTGTGTACAAAGTTTCTTATTCAAACTTTGAGGAAAAAGGTTGGTTTAGGGGGAAATATTGCTGCTATAAATTGGCGGGATTTAGGAATTAAAACAGGTCATGCAATTTTATGTTGTAAGCACAGGATCATGATGGGTCCACAGAGTTTGTTATGGTTTAGGATAAGATAGGAGTTAGTGGTGCAATATTTTTCAGTGAACTGCAGCTATGATCATCTTCCATATAAATATAGAAGTACTTGTTAGTTATTAATCTCAAGGTTTATGTTCAGATTGAATCCCTACTTTAGCTTAGTATTTTTCTCGAGCTTGCACAGTTCCTGGATTGGCCTTATCAATAACTTCATGACTTTGTTTGACCGAATCCCAGTGTTTGAAACCAAAAACTGATCTGATGTTAACAGAAAAAGAAAGGATCCTTGAATACTTAATAAAACCGCTGCACAGCTCAGTTGCAAATGAACATATAGTAAATAACATGAGTGGGTCTAACATAAAAGCCTAGCAAGGTAAATATTCCAAGAAGTTCACACAAACTTAAAGATTAGTAAGGACAACCATAAAGGTAATTTCCAAACTTGTTATCTAATTGCTAACCGGCAAAGAAAAGCAATTTCAGAGGTCCTACAAAATAAATGTAGCAGGGCAGCCCGGTGCACTAAGCTCCCACTATGTGCGGGGTTCGGGGAAGGGCCGGACCACAAAGGTCTAACGTACGCAGCCTTGCCCTACATTTCTGCAAGAGGTTGTTTCCTCGGTTTGAACCCGTGACCTCATGGTCACATGGCAGCAACTTTACCCGTTACGCAAGGCTCCCCTTCCACAAAATAAATGTAGTATAGCTCCTTATGTCCTGATTTTGTTATCCTTTTATATTCAGAAAAAGAATGTCCCAAAATATGCACACAACAGTCAAAAGAAACTGACCGTCTATTTATGCTGGTCAAGTACATAATACACTTGTTATTGTATTTCCTGACATGATTTCGAATAAGTTTACAGTTTAAAAGGCCACATTATGGTTATTTCGTAATAATTTAAGAAAAAGTAGTGAGAGAAGACTCATTTACTGCACTCATAGCATAGTCTAATATAACAGAACGGAGTATTTACAGTTCACTGAGTGAGGTTAACATTTAAAATTAGTTATTTTCTTGATCTTGCAAACCGAAGTGACAGGTCGCAATTTAGTTTAGAGGGGCAAAACCTGCCAAACGGCCCAAACCATAAGAATTTTACCAATTTTCAATGTACCAAGTACCATTAACTTAGTACTTTTGATGCCTTTCATATCTACTTTCTCAATCAAGAACAACTAATACAAGCCTACATGATTGGTTAATATTTTAAGGTCAAGACAGGTATTCCCTAGTTTATATGCCATTTGCTTGATGAGTTATATAATCACAACACATACACTTATATAGTGAACAGGAAGCATTTGGACTACCTGTGAGCAGTAATCATCCATTTCTTCCTCCTTTTGTTGACGTAATTCATCCTAAAAGAAACAGATGCATGAGGAGTGCAATTTCAGCAGTGAGGAACAAGAGAAAATAGATTAAATCCTAAATATCCCCCTGTGCACCAAAGTCAGTGTGCACTCTTAACGATCTTAGCACAAAAGGCTCATAAACAACTTCTTATCAAGGATACCACTGAAGAACACATGAAAGATACCTACTAAAAGGAAAAGCAAATCTCTTTTCGAGATAATAAAACTTTAGCATATGCATGTCATAGTGAATGCTTTTTAGTAGAATAATTGATCCAAAAGCAATATACAACAATAATCTCAATCCCAAGCTAGTTGTGGCATGCCACATAAATCCTCACTATCCAAAAGCTAAACACAGACGTAAACACACGACTGACTGGATTATTGTTCATGTATGTGTATAATTTCTTTAAAGCTTGTCAACCTTTCTCTAACTCCTCACTTGAACCAGTAAATAATTATTCTTTCCTTAAAAACCTCTTAGCAACTAATTTAGTAGTACAAGCCAATGAAAGTCAAGAGAATGTTGTAGCCTATAAGTATATGTTGGTTCTAGAATCACTCTATGCATATAGGTTAATACCATAGGATATTCTTCTGAATTGTGATGTATCTTTTATTTGATAAGGTGAAGTATTTGTAATTTTGCATGCAATAACAGTACCAAGAAGATACCAAAACAGCACAAAAATCTGGACTTGTTTAAACAAAATAAGGGAGCCCAACAAATCCAGGGTATCTGTTATGAAAATTACCAAAAATTCAGTCAGCCAAAATACTAAAGTTTTAAATACATCTGTATTTCATATAAGTAGTAATACGATCTTTTTCCCCCATCAAAACAACTATTGTGATAATTAGGTACACCGATATTTGAAAAAAAAAATCCTCATCTTTAATAGCCTAACTTCTGTATAAAAAGCCTCGTGTATGCTGTTAACAATCAACTCTATGAATGTACTCTCTTTTATTCTCTTATACATTAAAATAGTATCAGGGCCTCTACAATTCTGAGAGACTTAAGCTGTTCTGCCTACCCTGCTAAAAAATTCCCAATTGCTCCACAAATTTAGTAGTCACCTAATTTGTATGACCATTTGAGTGACACTACTCTTCTTACCAATGACGACTCTAGCATCCCCATCACTGTTCTGGTGTTCTCTAGCCACTACGCCGTCCTAAATTTATGCAGCGTATTGCAAATATGTCTAGGGTTGATTTATCCATCACTGTCAGCTAACCTATCAAGTAACACCCAACAGCTAACCTGTCAAGACAAGTTAGTTGTCTGAACCCGTTAACCTGTTAAGTTGATTAATCCATATTTGTTTTAGTCAGCGTAGTGCTGCCGTTCAACAACACACCATTGTCTAGTCAGTGTCACCTTAGACACATCAGCCATTCAGCGCCTCGTCACTATCCATTTAATTGTTCTTAAAAGGACACTTCTATTACTTACTTTACGTCTATAACACACCCACTTACATCTGACCCTATTCTTTCTATTGGGCCAAGCAGCTCCTAATATTTTGTCAATGGGGACAAATAAGAACTGAATTCAGGAACCTCTATTTTGTTGGTACCACATTGAATTATGTGACCAACTCATCTAAAAACTTAAGCTATTAGAGAGAGTGTCAACCATAAACAGAAAAAAGAAAATATGCTCACGTGCTTGGCCCAATAAAAAGAATCGCACCATACGATGGGGCAGTATAGACATAAAATAAATCAATTAAAATTCTCTCTAATAGCTAAAACTTTCAGATGCACTGATCACACAATTCAACAATGGCCACGCAACTATCCAATCAGTCGTCATATCATTGTCTAATCACAAGTGCCACATCTTCAGTCTATTACTCTCTTCCAAAAATAATGACCACTCTAAATTTGGAAACAATTTAAAATATACTTCCCCTTTTACCCTTGATGACAAGCATTATAGCCAAACAAATGCAATGTTATATTTAAAACCACAAGGTTCAAAAGTCTTATAGCAACACAAATGTTATGGCATGTTTAAGTTCTTTTCTTTCTTAAACTCCATACCCAATCAAACAAGGGTCACATAAAACGAAATGGTGATGTATATGTTTAAAATGTTCTAGATTTGTTTCATGTGTTCAGGTTAATAATATCTAACATTCTTGTCAACCCTATCATAAGTAGAACTCTCAGTATTCAAATAGTATTTTTTATTTAATTACCTTCTCTTTTACATAATTACAATATTATAAATTTTCTTACTCCTATCATAAGTAGAAATCTCAAATTAAGTATGCCTTATTTAATTAACTTCTCTGTTACATAATTTACAACATTATAAACTTTTCTTAGTCCGAAAGTGTAAACTCCTATGCAAGAGCCCTTCTGTATGGCTTTCATAATTAATTCAATACAAGTTCTCTTTTATCATTTTCTCACAGTCGACAGATAACAACAAGAAGACCCACAAAGGAGGATATTAGCATGACTTACCTCCTCCTACTAACTTAGCTTCTGCAATTTCCAAGCCAGCAGCTTTTTGCAATCAGAAAGCTAGTACAAGCTTCACGACACTTATTTGAATTTTCCAGCATAGTTGGAATATAACATTTTATGAACCAAGTGATCAAGTCTACATGCATGCAGTCCCAACCCAAAATTTCCCAAATACAAGCAATTTTTCTTGAACTTTTTTTATTTTTTACTTTCTTTTTTATTTTCCAGTTTTAACTGGAGAGGGAAGCAAAGACGTTTTCTCTCTTCCTTTTATAGCATTTGTATCAAACAATTTAAATCTTTCACGCTACTCCTCCCCCACCGTGGCCACTTAAAAAAGAGAAGATGCAATGAGACTGAGCACCATAAGATCATCAATGACAAAGGAAACCAACATCAGTAAACTTGATATCAGAACAAAGAGAACCAACAGTAGTAAACTTGATAGTGTGTAAATGAGTGCCTGTGTTGGTTTCGATGACTGAGGAGGAGCATATCCACGCCTTAACTTAACGCCATTCCCCCCAAATCCCATAGCACTAGAGAAACCAGACGCATCAGCATTTAGCCAAGCTTCCCAAGTATCATCTTCTCCTGTGAAAATAGCATGCAGTCCCTGCATTGTGGTAAGCAAGTGCATCACTAACAGTACGACTCAAAAAACAAATGCAAAAGCTCCATAAATTCAGCAAACTCATACTGGGCTGAAGCCCTGCATATCGATCCGAGCTGCATAGAGCCCTGATGGCTGAAAGCTTCTTCTATGCCAAACCTGTGGCAGCCAGGTAAAACTCATCAACTTGTATTGAGGGAAAATTTTGGATAATCAACAAAAAATGAAAAGGAAAGTAAAAGATTTAATAAAAAAGAAAATTGCGCATCTTGGATTAGTAAACGTCAACGAACAGATAACAAGGTACAATTTTCACATGCATTTTATTTTTGCCAGTAAGTAGTAGAAGTGGAACATCTGCCACATGCTGCCTGATATTCAATAATGGAACATGTAGAAACAACGCACATTAGAACAGTTACATATAAAATTTTGCAGTCAACATCAGATAAGCATACATAAGATGTGCCACTCTTAGTGATGCCGAATACCTTACTGCGATATGCAAACTCCAACTGTTCAGCAACATCTTCACGCAGCGGAAGCCAATCCAGACCCCCTTTACGAGCAAACCAGTGACCTCTTAAGACACGACGGTTTTCTCCGGTCCAGTAAACAGGAAAACAATGTCTCTTTACCAAATCTACCTGCAATGATGAGGATATCCGTTACTCAGGAATTTATTTTCTTTTAAAGCAGAAAGAGGATCTGGGAGAGGAGAAGCCTGCAAGACATTTTAGAGAACCACAACAAGAAGATTTTTATTTTGTTATTATCGATAAAGTAATAGTTATATTGACATCACGGGAAATTCCCGCTATACAAGTGGTACTCAAAAGAGCAGTGGACTATAAAAAAGATATGATTCACTACAAATGATACTCGATCATCAAAGACTAACAGGGACCTCATTATTGAACCAAAAATTCACTGATTCCAATCGCATCATCAAAAAATCCAAGAATTCCTAATTCACGTAATCATAGGCCTTTCCCAAGTTCCGAGTTCTGACACAATGCAGTGCCAATCTTGATCACCGTCACAAAGAGTTTCAAGACTTCATTCTGGAAAGTAGTCTACTTAGCACGAGCGAAGAAACAGAAGTGGTTTAACACAATAGAAGCAATAAGCTAATCATGCATGCACCCACAAACTGTTTTCTTTCCTCTCCTTTTTCTAATAAGACACCCACAAAGTTTTGGAAGGATATTGCTTTCCGTGAGAAGTTTTTAAAAATAAAAATTTAACTGTTGTCGAAATTTGTTGATTAACAATGTTAGATAATGTCAACTTTTAATGTGTTAGAATGTGAAAGTTAGCATAGTGTTCCTGTTAAGCTGACTTAACAAGAAAGTGTTGCTGTTAAGCTAGTACTAGTAAGTAATATGAGATGTGATTTGTATCCTTTATCTATAAATAGGTGTCTTGCACAAAATTTCTAACTGAGCCACTCTTATTTCTAATAACCATTCCAACACCTTGCGCATCTTCCTGGTAATCAATTGGCGATATTGCCTCTTAAATCGCTGCTTTCGGCCACTATCCTATTCACTATTTATAGCAACTTCTTTAACAAAATTTTGATGGCTTAAAATTTCCTCAGAAAGATTTCCGCAACCAAAAATTTTATCAATAAGACTCCGACGATCGGAATTCAGAACTTTGCAAGCGATTATTACCTGCCTATGCTTCATTCTATGCTTCAAAATAAGCAAACCTAAACTGATTTTCACCTCAAGTTTGAGAGGGCACATATGCGGTCACATGTTAGTGTTAAGTAATATGTTAAGTTAGTCCCTTATAGGTTAAAATTGGATCCCCCTCATGGCCCCTGTTCAAAATGAACCACCTCCAAGCCTCCTGAACTAATTCCATTATCGGTGGATATACTATTCCGGACAGAAACAGTAGGAATGACCTTGCAGACTTGAGCTTTAGGCCCCTCCACCCCAAAACCATGATTCTGAGGCCCACCCGCTCTGTTTCCACCCGAAAAGACCTCGCTGGCATTTAAATTTTGACAATTATTCTCGCTGGAGTTACTGTTCCGACCAGAAACAGTAGAAATCACCTTGGAAACTATGGTAGACCCCTCCACCTCAATCCTTTGATTCTGAGGCCCACCCAGTTGTATCCACCTGAAACAACCTCGCCGGCGTTAGAAATTGGCAAAGAATCTCGCCAGACATGAAGACGGAGCTGTCATACTTCTTCCCTTACAGTCTCGGGTTTCCCCCGAGAACGAGACATGCCGCTGGATTCAAATCCTTCCATCGAAAGCATTAGTAGATTTTTTCGATTCCTTTCGTTCATTCGTCTTTACCCTAGTGCCTCGTCGACTGTCTTCAGTTTTGTGTGACCCACGATAATTCCCCCTTAGACCAGTTTTATTTTCCTTAGAAGTAGAAACCGGCCCATAACTTTTATTGACACAACATTTACTCTTTTTAGAATGTGAGGTGATGTTCTTGATACACTTTTCCCAGATAATAGAACTTTTTATAACTCTTGCAAGTTTCAAGAATTCAAATTCAATTAAAATTTCAAAGTTAAACCACGATGTGATGTTTTTCTAGCAACTCAACTTTTCAAGAACTGCTGTAATGTCATTCTTCTACCCAGTGTTTAAAAAAGCAATCGCTTCATGCTTCATCGCTTTAAGCGAGAAGTGACGTGAAGCGACAGTGCATCGCTTTTCTGAAGCTGAGGCGACGCGATTTTCAAAAGCAATCGCTTCAATACCTGAAGTGAGAAACGACGCAGAAGCGAGAAGCGATCGCTTCAGTCAAAAGGGGTCAATTTTAAAAAATTCCAGAAGTCCGTCCAGGTTATTCTTCTTCTTTTATTCTTCTTTTTTCTTTCTTCTTCTTCTCCTTTTTTCTTCACCTTTTTTCTCTCTCTTCTTTCTTCTTCTTCCCGTCACGTCCACTGCTGCTCACTGCTAGGGTTCCAGCGGTCCTTTTTTTTTTTTCCTTTTATTCTTCTTATTTAGCCAATATTTATTAATTTTTGTGTGTATTTCAATTTATAAACTTAATTATTATATTTTGAAATGTCGCTGCTTTGCTGATTCTAGTATATTAAACTTAATTATTATTATTATTTTCAGTTTTTTCCTTTTTCTTTGAAATGTTACTGATTTCGGTCATTAAATTTAATTTAATTAAGGTGTTGCTGATTTCAGTTTTTATATATATATATATATATATATATATATATATATATATATATTTTCAATTTATTTCATTATGTTTGTTTTTCTTATATCTTAATAGGGATATACATTGAACTTTTTGATTATTTATATTGTCTCTTTGCAAGGTTTACTTTATGTTTTTTAAGAATTGCGCTTCACTTCAATGAAACATGCGCTTCGCTTCGCTTTTGAAGCAAGGCGAGCCCCTGTCGCTTTTTCGCGCTTCTCGCTCTTAAAAACACTGCTTCTACCCCCAAAGACATAAAATGCAGGTAAAAGTAACTTCCTCATCTCTGTGCCAAATTAAATGATGTTACACGATACAGGGAAGAAGGAGCAGCAAAACATGAATGAATGATTTCACATAGAAATTCAAGAATCTATAGTCATATATCATAACATATCTTATACATCTGATAAGTTTATATTCTTCAGTTACAGAAATCACATGCACCAGTCTTTCAACTGTACATCCACCAAAGTATACATATTAAGAAAATGGTTAAGTAAACTGTAAATATTCAATACTTCATGCTTCAAGTGGTAAGACCAAGTTGTATTTTGTATTTACACCCTTCCAGTTTTTTTGGTTCTTAATTTAACCCTTCCAGTTAATCTCAGATGCAGCATGAAAGCCAAATTACTGAACCAGATAAGAATACTAGGTAAAATCGACAGTCCATGCTATTTCATGCAAAATTTACATATATCATGTTCTACCCTAAGATCTTTGCCATTGGCAAACACCTGTATAAGTTCTATCTTATCTCTCTCCTCTTAGTAGGTCTATATTCTTTACTGCAACAGGTTCTTTTTTTCTTTCACAAGTCATTATGCCAGTCCAAAATGTACTTTTCCTTGATGGACTAATAAACGATAACAATTGTTCGTGCACACACACACACACAGAGAGAAGGTATGGACAAAGGATACCTCATAGAGGCCACCCTTAACAGGGACCCCAACTCTTTCTTCTTCTTCAACTGAATACTCTTCACCGAATTGAGAGCTCTCCGAAGATGATTTTTCTGATGCAGGACTAAGTAAATCTGGTGCCCCCTTTGGGCCCTCACTGCACTCCGCATACTCTTTCCACCAACAAGAAAGCAACTCATCCTCTCTCTACAGAGTGCAAACCAATTAATGGCTCATATATCAACATAAGATATTTCAAACTCTAATAGCCACACAAGTCTTACCATTATCTGCTCTTTACTTTTTTTTTTT